TGAAGCTACAGTAGATCCAGTTTAGCCGTGCAACTATCCATCCATCCATCCATTATCTCTACACCTTCATCCTCACTAGGGTCGTGGGGGGCTGGAGTCTATCCCAGCTGACTCAGGGTGAAGGCAGGTTCACCTGGACAGGTAACCAGTCTATCACAGGGCTACACTTAGAGACAGACAACCAAGCACACTCACATTCACACCTACGGACAATTTACAATCACCAATTAACCTCAACATGTTTCTGGACTGTGGGAGGAAGCCGGAGAACCCGGAGAGAACCCACGCTGCACGGGGAGAACATGGAGACTCCACACAGAAAGATCCTCACCGAGACGCGAACCGGCGACCTTCTAGCTGCGAGGCAACGTTGCTAACCACTAACCCTGCTGTGTAACTAAATAGGTGACAAATGTGTATTTATAAGCATATGAAACATATTTGGTGTAACACAGACCAGGAACAGACAAACATCTGGAGACCTTAGGCCTCAGTGATAAAATGATCTCAGTGGTCTGTCAAACCAGTGTCAGACACTTATGGAAGAAAACTGTTGGATAGAATGTTTAATAGATTCAGTTAAATACATCAGATGCAACCCAACATGAAAACACTAAGTTTAGTTCCATGATGCAGCCGAGCCTGCTCCCTCCAGGGCTCATGGGCCTCGTTCTTGGAGGTGTGGATCTCTCCTGGTGGAGGCCCAGTGTCCAGTGAGGACCGGTGGTTGCCCTTGTGAGATGAGCTTTAGGGTCTAAAAACAGCCACGACTTCCTTCTGTCCCCCACCACCTCCATCTAAACAATGCAGTCCACTCTGACAAACTTGGGAAGCACACAGTCCGGTGCAGGGTTCTTGTCATGAACAACCACCAGAACCATGAACCTCAGCGCGGTGCAAAGGCTTCATCCTGGTCACCCTCTGCGCTCCTCTGGCTTTTACGTACTCTCTTTATTTTATTTGTATGACGATCATTCCTTCTAATTAATTTTGAGTAATGTCTGCAGAGTTTTTTTTTCTTTATATATGTGTGTGTTCATACTTGTGTTCTTTTATAAACAGGCTAAAGTGGTTAAATTCAAAGTAAGCTGGTTAATTCAAGATGGCCTTAATTAGGATACAGGTAGTTTAAAAATGATCAGTAATTATGTGTTATATTGACTAAAATAAAACCAATTATCATGGGAAGGAGGGAGGACTCTCTTATGTGACGTAATATATGTTCTTTTTTTTTCTTTTTTTTAAAGGCATTTTTAAGATGGCTGCACAAAAAGCCCACTTTTCCATCTGAATTTCTGCCTTTATGTCTCATCAAATATTTAAATTGTGCATTAACTTTTCAGACAATCATTTCCAATAAATATTAGATATAAATCCAGTAAAAAATTCAACCTGCAAGTTGCTTTTTAAGAAACACCGAGACGCTCATTCTAGTTTTCAGACACTAAACATAACAGTGGAGTCTGTGGAAATCATTTCTGAAAACATGCCAGATGTGTTATCTCCTGTTAGAGATGACTGTGGTGACTGCACACATCAAACCGCTCTCTGAATCGCTGATCACAGACTCTGACGAACGTTTGTACTCTTCAATAAAGAGCCTTCAATACACAGTAAGTTGCCTTTACCTTAAAACTTAAAGCATTTATTCCTGCTGTTTCACTGCTAAACCTTCCACCGGCTGTGTGACGTTCACGACCAGAACACTGGAGCCGACTGCTAGTTCTGAGCTCAGCTAGACTGTTTTTTCTTGTTCTTGGATAATGAACATTTTCAACCCATTTCATTCACAATTTGTGCAGTTTCAAACAATTAACAGTATAAACGGCTTTACATGTTGATCTTTTTCAGAAGCTCTCAATCATGCTGATTTGTTGTCTGCCCCACGCGTCTCGCTGCTGACGTTAGTCAGAACCCATCTATAGCCTTTTTATTGTATGGAGCCGTGTGTGTCTGTTGGTCTGTCATTCACATTTTCAATAACTACTCAGTTTAAGCTACACATGGACTGTATAAAGCATCTATAGCAGCCAGTGAATGGGGTTATTTGGAGTTGAAGGCAGCTTTTGTATACAGTCTCACCATTTTCTCCATTGAAGTCACAAATTATGGTTGGATAAAAGCAGAGCTCCATCATCCTTGAAGCCGCTCCAGTCAGTATGTTAATACTGCCTGTGGATTACATGCCTACTTGTGTGTGGTTCAAGTGGATGTGGTCCGGTGGTGATGAACCCCCAGAAAAACATCACCATTATATAGCTTCATAGCTTCTTTGTACCAGCAGAAAAAAAAATACCTGCCCAGCACCGAAACATACGACTGATGACTAGGTGTTGTTTTTTTTAATGTTCATCACACAACTTAAAGAGTAAATAATGTTAAAATATTTTGGCTACAGCTTGTTTCCTGCCCTTTAGTGGTCAGAAATCTGTTTTTGGAGGTTTTAAATTGATTGTAGAGTCAAACTATGGCTACTCTGAAGCTCTCAGCACCGAAGGACGTTTGTTGTGAAGTTTGATTTCAGTATAACATGTAAAACATACATGAAGGCATTTCAGTCAAGTTTTGTGTTAGAGTTTGTGTTATTTAAAAGTTGCACTGCAGGATTTTCATTTTTACTTTTGCATTTTGCTTTTATTTTCTTTACTGTACAACATATACGTTTATACTTTATGACAAATTTCTGCACCTTGCATAAAAAACATGGATATAAAGCTGCTCTGTACGTATGTTTGCAGCTCCGACCTCTATGGTGCGTGTTTGCTCTCACACCAGTTTCAGCGATGAGCGTGGAATCGCCGTGATGCAACAGCGAACAATCTGCATACGTTACATGTTTAGGGCAGAAACCTGTCGTAGTTCTGCAGTTTGATTAATCACAAGTTTGACAGTTTCCAGAATAAATAATAACATTTTATGCCTAATATGAGTTAGCCACCAGACCCCAGGCTAACTCACATTAGTGTGGTATTTCTTGTGTTTCCATGTTTCCAGAGCAGCACTAAGGAAACTCTCTCCAGCCAACCTGTGCTCATTCACAGGGCTTAAAAAAAAAAAGAAAACTGCGGTTTTGTCAAAGTCAGAGGCGTCTCAGGGGTGTTCACAAGGTGTCCTCTGGCATCTGTGTCATTATTCGACATCACTGGTCATAACTTTTGCAGTTTCAAAGAGGTTGGAGCAGGACTTTCACCCAAGTCTCTGAGGTTTGTGTCCTGTGTTGGACTATTTTCTGTTCACTTTTATTTTGTGGTGTGACTGTCGTTATCACTCGCTGTTTACTTTTAAGTTTATGGATGAAGACTAATTGGTTAATTTAGGCACTAAAACTAACCAATATATTCCTCTAACTTTGCTCCATCTGCATGTAAAGCGTGTTTTAGGTCACGCAAAAGGAGGTTTTTTTTTCAAATGCCTTTTTATAATTATCTCTATGGATCCATTAACCAGAAAGTTTGGGAAGCGATGATGTCACTCATAACCATTGTTGCTTTGTGTAGTGAGCATCAACCACAAACAGCCAATATATGCTATTTTACATCTATTAAACCTTTACAACTCACTTTGGCGTCGATGCTTCACTGCTGCATCAGCAGTTTAAAGTCCAAAGAATCAATGAAATGACAGATTCTCTTCTTTGATGTTGGACGAGTTGTTGCCGAACACTGGTTCGTCATGCTTGTTACGGTGTTTGGATTTGCGTCCTCAAGCGTACGGTGAAAATGTAGGTATCGGAAACAATCAGAGTTGGGATTAAAATAAACCCTTTCACAACGTTAAACACACGTTACCAGCCAAACTCCTCGTTGCATCAGTGACGACACCAGCAGAGAACATTTGGCTCCGGACTCATCACGTCTATTTCTGTTGCCCGCAGATTTTTATAGGCGCATCGAACCGACCCGCACGTTGAAATACGACGCTGAAGGGCACCAGGTGCGTTCAAATGTGACACCGCGGGTTCCTAATGAGCAGCCGTATGCGGCGAGTTGGGAGGGAGGCCGGCCTCCTCGAGCTGATTATTTATGGTTTACTAACAACGTTGTGGAGCAAACAATTAGAACAGAGAGTAACCTGTTGGGAATGTGCAGCAGCGAGGACATCGTCAGGCATTTTCGCTCGCCCCAGGACACTGACTTGCACGCTCAGCCATTTTTTTTTTTTTTAGTCTTATTTATCCCAGCATTCACGCCAAATTAGTCCTACTTAACATAATCGAGACCTAGACAGCTCGGTGCCTCTTGTGACTATTAGTTAGATCTAAACCATTGTAATAATAAAATCTGTCTTCATAAACCCGGCCCCTGGCATCGGCTACGGGAAGCACTCCTATTCATCCGCAGACGGTGACACAGGTGATGCCGCTAAGCAGCCCGGTGTCAAGAAGATGAGCCGTCCACGTCGACACCGTTTTCCTTTTCTTTCCCCTACAGCCGCCGCTCTGAGGAGTTTACTGAAATCACTTTGTGGGTACTGAAATCGTCCAAACAGTGGGAAAATTGAACATTTGTTGCAGGGTGAAGTAGCTCGGTGGCGCTTGAAACACATGTAAAGTGCTGTAATTCGCTCTCATAAGAACCAGGCCTTCTGTGTGTGTGTGTGTGTGTGTGTGTGTGTGTGTGTGGCATTTTGCTCAGTTTATTTTATCTTGTTGTGGGTGTGCACCTACTGTGTAAATGTGTGTCCTGGAAGTAGGTGAAACATGCCTTCTGTTGCTCTCCTCCTCTCTCTCTCTGCCGACAAGTACCCTTAACTGTATTGTATTTGCAGCGTGGGTATTAAAAAATGAGTAATTTGGCAAGCTTTCCGCGCGAAATCTCCTCAGACTTGCAGCGAGTTTTTGGAGGCTGAGAAGTTCCTGACAATGACAGGATGCCATCTTCTGTTTGTGTGGAATATTTTTTTAAAAAAGGAACGATTTTGTTATCCTGTGAATCTCTGCCCTGCTCCTCCATTGGCACATAATCTTTATTTTCCTCTTTTCTTCTCCCCTCTGTGTTTGTTCTAATTTACCCTGCAGGGTTTCTGAGCACAGGGGACCAGTCTGCTAAGGGGAACTATGGCTTGTTGGACCAGATCCAGGCCCTGCGCTGGCTCAATGAAAACATTGGCCACTTTGGAGGAGACCCAGAGAGAATCACCATCTTTGGCTCAGGAGCCGGTGCCGCCTGTGTGAACCTCCTCATCCTCTCCCACCACTCCGAGGGTAAGGTTCTTTCACCGTCATCGCCACATTAGCAGTCATATACCCTTCTCAAAGGGGATTAACATTTCAGGACAGTGTGGGTAGTGTAGTTCTTCCACAGAGCATGTTGGTAATTTCAATGAATAGCCTAAACCAGATTAAGATATATGTCATTATTATTCCCCCCAAATATTCAGAAATGAGTAACTCCCTGTTTGTGGCATTATAGTATTTTTATTTTTTTCCCCCCAATAAAAATGAAAAAGATTAAGTAATTTGAAAGAAAACCAGATTGCCGGTCTGGAAGGCGCTCGAGTCGACAGATGGGTGAAAACAGTTGGGGATTTTTTATTTTTTTTTAAACCACTACTCACCTTGGGACACAAACCCTGTAATAATCCCAAATAATGTCATTCCACGTGGGACTGGAGCCACTGAACTGCACTGACAAAACCGTCCTTGCCCAATAAAACTAATCCTCTCCGGACAAGGTGCCAGAAAGAAACGCTGTATATTAGTTGCTTTGGGTTTTTTTACCTCGTTGACATGTCCATATGGTGTTTTTTATGTGCTAGAAGTCACATTATGAGTAAAATAAGCAGTTACTTCCATGACCCTGACACTGCTGGTGACAACAACACAAATCCAGACTTCCAGGGTTTCATTCATAACGAACACAGTTAACCAAACCGGCAGCGTTGGGCGTCCCTTATCATCAGTATTCACAATCAGTTTCTATTTCAAATATGTGTGGCTGAATTACTCCAATATTGTCATTGTGTAAGTAGTTTGCAAAGTTTGTAGGTGAGCTGCTGTTCTCGGGTTGGAAGGGATGCATAGACGAGTTACAGCTCAGTCATTTTAATGCAGAAAGGAATTCATTATTAAATGGAAATAAAGGGCTAAATGTGTAACTTTGATGCACATAGAGGAGTTTTAGAGGTTAAATCAATGACCAGAGAGGGATTTTAAGATATAAAAAGTAGCATATTTGCATTATTTTTATTTATTTTTTCAATAACTAGACCGAGACTAAAGTGTTATTATACCAAAACTTTCCAACAAACACAGAACTTCTTGGTTCAGTTTAATGAAACGGTGCGTTTCTATTTGGTCACCTGTCCGTGGTGTCGTATCACTTTTACCTGCACAGTAAAAACCACGAGTGTGAAAGAAAGAAAAAGAAGTCGGCAAACCAGCTAGCTACTGAGTTTTTTATTCTGCCGCTTGTATTTCTTAAGTACGATTATTTCACTATGATGCTTGGTGGTTAGCATCGTCGCCTCGCAGCTAGAAGGACGCCGGTTCGCGTCCCGGTGAGGACACCCGCGATCTTTCTGAGTCTCCATGTTCTCCCCGTGCAGCCTCTCCGGGTTCTCCGGCTTCCTCCCAAAAACATGTTGAGGTTAATTGGTGATTGTAAATTGTCCGTAGGTGTGAATGTGAGTGTGCTTGGTTGTCTGTCTCTAAGTGTAGCCCTGTGATAGACTGGTTACCTGTCCAGGTGAACCTGCCTTCACCTTGAGTCAGCTGGGATAGACTCCAGCCCCCCATAGTGAGGATTAAGGTGTAGAGATGATGGATGGATGTATTGACCAGTAGCTATGTGGGTAATCAGCTCATCTAATGGGAAGCTAGCGATGACCAATACGTTAGTTCATGTTATTTGTGGTTATTTATACGTGACTGAATGTTACATAAATAAAATGTTAATACCTCATCTGTGAACATTACCGCTGCCTCAATCCTAGATTTTCAATGGCATCGGTGGTGAAGACTCCCATGATCCAACGCTGCCTCACGACATCATCAAATACGTCTACTCTCATAGTTTGGATTTAAAAACCCTTAGCAGCAGAAGCTACATACCAAGAAAATAATGAGTACTTCCTGTATTTATTATCCTACATTATGTGTCATGATCATGAGGCCTGTCTTCTTTAAAATTCTTCTGAGCGGCTCTTTTGGTCATTAATGTTGCAGTTTGAGCTTTTAAAAGCCAAATTAAAGAGGTGCACGTCTGATGTTTTGTTCATATCACAGGTCTGTGGACCTGCAGCACAACTGGATTTGAGGGGTTTGTTGAAAACACTTTCACTGATTCTTTTTATAAACACAAAAGCAACGAGTGGTTTCAATGGTTTCATTTTTTTTAACAATGACAGCCCTTTTTTGTCATCTCCTGTCCTGTGCCCGTGCTTGGTGGATAAATACAAGTGAAGAAAGTCGTTAATCAATCATTCGTGGGGGTCTTCTGTCTGCAGCAATGTTTAGGCCCAATATCAGACCCAAGGGTTCCCAGCAGAACGTTGCATTTTAACTAAAACCATTAGTGCCATTTACTTCACCTGTCAGCAGTTTAAATGCTGTGGCTGCTCAATGCACCAATAAATACTGAACTAAACAGTAAATAGTTGTTTCAGTTATTCCTTCTGTTTAACAGTAGTATACGCTCACATCTTTTCATGAACAAAAAACATCCAGAAATGACATCCTGCTCTGATCCTGTTGTTCATTTGCGTCCGTCAATCAATCGACGTGACTGAGAGACTTGATGCATTCAGTATCTGTGCTGGCTAAAGAGGAGCTTTTGTCTCCCGAGGTCTAGTTGGCACCGTTTCCACATTTGACAGTTTTTCTCTGCAGATAAGGGATTCAGGTGTGGGACAGCTACGCTCCTCTCTCCAGCAGCAGCAGCAGCAGCTACAGGCCCGGCCGTTTGAACCGTGCAGCGGTCGCTACTCTTACGGTCGTTATTTCCACCTGCCGAGCACCGAGAACGCTTGAGTATATATCACGTTTCTATGACAACTGGCGACCGTGAGATGCCCTCACAGATGAGTCATTACTGCACATTTAAATTGCTGCGATTTAAATGTTGATTCCTCAGTTTGATGCAAACGAAAGCACAATATTAAAAAGTTCATGTAAATAGTTACAGAAGTCTAGTAAAAAGAAAAATATAAACGGATCTTGTGGCACCCTTGGTTCATCCTCAGCACTACGGGAGCCACCGCGGTGTACAACTTATCACCGGCTGTATTTACTTCTTTTGCTTGTTTTTTGAGAGGCGGATCTCTAAAATACCCACCAGATGTTTGATCATTAATCCTCTGATGTGGTTGGTGGAGCTGAGAAGGTGAATGGCATTTTTTTTTATTCTTTACCAAGAATTCAGATTATGTTATTACTAAACTGTTAACCTTCACACTGACAGGCTGACCTTGGACGGATAAAGAAAACATTTATCTGTGCTGCAGGAAGCGGATTCTCGGCGTGTGTGTGTGCAGCGGATATCTTTTTTTGTCTGTCACGAGTCAGAAAACATTCAGGAGGACATGGAAAAGCATCTCAATGACTGGGAAGCTGTTAGTGGCTGTCACGTTGCCAGCTAACGTTGGCTGCGTCGCACGCCGTCCGCAGACGAAAGCCCACACCTGAGAGAAGACTTTAAATAAAGCTCGATGATAACTTAGTGTCACGACGCACCATGTGTAGGTTTGCATTTAAAACATATCTCATGTGTGGTTAACCGAGCATCGGCGCTGTTGTGTGACTGCCAAAGTCCCTTCAGATTTTTGGCTTTCATCGGCAGTCTTAATGTGGTCAAGTTTTTTTACACTTGGTGCAATATCAAAAGCTGAAAACGGGTTGTTATGCATAGATGTGCTGCACTCCATTTTGAAGGCAGGCACCACAAAGTGCAGAAAAAGTTGGAGGGTGAACATTTTTAAAGGTACTTGCATGTGTGTGTGTGTGTGTGTGTGTGTGTGTGTGTGGAGAGATGAGATGAGATGAGGAGCAGAGCTGGAGCTGCAGCTGAGAGGCTTCTTAATTGATTTCACAGGGAGAGGAGCGGGGGTGGGGCACATGCAGAATATGGGGGGGCTTAATTATTAATGACAGAATCTGCAGATAAAACAGAGGGACAGCAAGCCACTTTACATAACAGTGCAGCGGTGCAACAGTGCGAGCAGTTTTCTTTCTCTTGCCGTCTCTCTTCCTGTCCTTCTTTGCTTTTACCCAACAAACAAACCCGCTCCCGTGTGCAGAGTCGTCGCCATGTTTTCTCGCCGTACGTAACGGGAACGCTTCGTTTTCTCACAAAGGTTCTCTCCAGCTATGGGAACCAGTGGGATGCCTGCTTCATCTTGCTTCCAATGTAATCGTCTACAATCGCTCCTCCTCCAACATATGCATTATTGAGGTGTTCACACTATAAGGCCTTGAAGTCTTCGTCAGCTGCGAGCTAAAAGTATGTCAGAGGGGAGAACAGCGCTATACTGAGAGTGAATGAGCAGTTGTATGTTTACATGTGTCAGCTGTGTGTTTTCATGCAGGCCTGTTCCAGAGAGCCATCGCTCAGAGCGGCTCGGCCATCTCCAGCTGGTCGGTCAACTACCGGCCGCTGATGTACACCAAGATCCTGGCCAAGAAGGTGGGCTGCACTCTGGGGGACATGGCTGAGCTGGTGGACTGCCTGCGGAGGAAGAGTTTCAGGGAGCTGGTGGACCAAGACATCCAGCCTGCACGCTACCACATCGCCTTTGGGCCTGTGGTGGACGGGGACGTGGTGCCGGACGACCCGGAGATCCTCATGCAGCAGGTCAGGGTTGATTCCTCGACTGGGTTTCCAGGCATTTCAGACTTTTTCAAGCTCAGATTTCCAGACTTGTCAGTGGATTTTTCAGATAATATATGACATCTGAGTGCAAATGTCCAGATGTAAATAAATGGTTTTAAAACCCAACTGTGGGCTAAATTCTAACTACTGAATGTGTGCTATTGTACTGCTGAATCATTAACACCAAACCTGGACACGTTCAGCTTTTTCTTCAACAAAAAGATCTCAGATGAGGAGCAGTGCTACCTATATTTATTTTCCTTAACATACAGAACAAATAGCATTTTATTATTATTTCCCCCCTCAACCAAAAATAGATTTTAATAAAATGTAATAATTATATTTTCTACCGACTGTGCGTCCTTGTTTATTGACTGTGTCCGCTGAAACGACAATGAATGTAAAGGATTCAGAAAGGATAGTCCGTCTGTGTTTCTGACAACACGTCACTGCACAGCTCATGAATGTTCACACAGGCTTTATATTTGGATATTTGTTGATTTTGTACAGATATGTGACACACGGGACCGAGCTTTTTTTGTGACGTGCAGGCGGCCCTGCGTCAGCGTTTATGTTTAGCTGCACACCGTACTTCTTGCCTTGTTTTCAATTAAAGTTTAGAAATTTCACATATTAGATATCTGTTTTCCTATTCCTAGTCTTTTCTTTTTTCCCATCCAGATCAGGAAATGACTAAAATCCAACTCAACACTTTTCCACACTGTACCAGTAACTCTGCCTCTGACTCCCATCCAGTGAACAATTTAGCTTTTCCTATAAAACTGCACCGGAGCTGTATCAGTCACTTCCTTACAGCCCTTTGTATTACTGCTGCACTCTGCTCTGTCATCTCACGCTGTGTGTGTGTGTGTGTGTGTGTGTTTGCTGTGACACCAGGGCGAGTTCCTCAACTACGACATACTGCTGGGTGTCAACCAGGGAGAGGGCCTGAAGTTTGTGGATGACAGTGAAGGAGAAGATGGAATCTCAGCTGCCTCATTTGATTACACCATCTCCAACTTTGTGGACAATCTGTATGGATACCCTGATGGTCAGATCTGTTTTAACTTCATACTCATAAGTGATTTAAAGCTGAAATCTGTGGGTTTCCTACGTGTTGTTGTTGGCCGCCGCACCGCTCAGAAGCTGCTTGAATGATGTTCAAAGTACAACACAGGTGGCAGACTATCCAGAGTTGTGCTTGAGAATTATTAGACTAGAGTCAAGGGTTGCAATGTCAGGAGTACAACTGGCAAGCTAGTCAGTTTGCATGTTTTATCACTGGCTATTTGTGGCATTATGTGTTCTGGTTATGACATGCAGAGGCTTGTTTTTTAGCATTTTTTCATTACAACACATACATTCATGTGGAAGTATTTCTGCAACAGCACTGTTCCTGCTTCCTTGTGCACAGATGCTTTTAAAATCTGATTTATTATCAGGTGCATTTGTATATTTAATCACGTAGGTAGTATAATTTTGGAAACGGTCTGGCTTCTTCCAAATCTTTGGTGCATTTCTGAATATTTCGGCATCGATCACATCCACAGGATTGCTCACCCGACCGTTGGCATGTTTTGTTGTTTGCTGATATCTAATTACCTAAAAACATAGCTTCAAGCAGACCGGTGCCTTAACCGGTTAAATCTGAGGACAATGATTGCACAATTAAAATAAAGCATTTACTTGAAGTCTTTGATTTTTGGTGATCCATACTTGCAAGCTGAACTCAAACAGCAACCACACCGACAAGGAATGGCTTAAAAACCTAAATGGCCTTATTTCCTCCTCCAGTAACTGGAAGGTTATAGGGCTGCAAATATACGTAGCTATTATATTATTACCTCAAGATGTCCTACAAGAAAACAGCTGAAGTACATGTAATAAAGCCTGAGGGCCAAGAGTGGATGCACCTGATTACACAGTAACCACCTGTAAGGAAAGCTGTAAAAAAAAGTAAAGCCGGCGTGCCCGGAAGGAGGCGGTTTGATGATTTAATTGATCAATGTCATACCTATCATTCTATCAGTTGGAGGCTTTTGACAGGGTTGTTTCACAAAGTTCCAAGAGCAAGAGCATAAATCTGAGAGCAGAAGTTTCACAAGCGCTCAGAAGCTCTCTGAGTGGGAGGAGATGCACTGAAACTGAAGAACAGGACATTCGAGCAGCAGCAGCAGCGACAGTCTATCTCTGTGCTGACAGACGGTTCTGAGCAGGAACGGAGCAGATCTGCACCCAGGCAGGGGATGTTTGACAGAGAGGGAAGATGCTAATTGACTGGACAGGCGGCTTTATTTCACACGCTAAAGCAACATGAGATAGAATAGATTTTATAATAAACAACAATGTTCACAGGAGATTATATTTGTGATTGTTCTTGTGTCAGCCCACCACTGTATAGATGTCAGACATGCACAATATTTTACCCACAACTGTTACAGATTTCAGCCTTAAATCCATCCGCTGAATGTTGCAGATAAACACGTCTCTGTCACTGCATGCATACTCACGTTCTTTTCGTTTCTTCCAAGGTAAAGATATCCTGAGGGAAACCATAAAATTCATGTACACAGACTGGGCTGACAGGGACAACAGTGACATGCGTAGGAAGACCCTCCTGGCTCTGTTCACGGACCATCAGTGGGTGGCCCCGGCTGTCGCCACCGCCAAGCTGCACGCCGAGTTCCAGTCGCCCGTCTACTTCTATACTTTCCACCACCACTGTCAGACCGAGGCGAGGCCAGACTGGGCAGACGCCGCCCATGGGGATGAGATCCCCTATGTGTTTGGGATTCCCATGGTGGGAGCCACTGACCTGTTTCCCTGTAACTTCTCCAAGAACGACGTGATGCTCAGCGCTGTAGTCATGACGTACTGGACCAACTTTGCCAAGACGGGGTCAGTATAACGCCACATTTCAAGCCATTTGAATACCAATTAATAATAATGTACTGCGTGTAAAGCGTACGGTATATACTTGCACATATGTGACATTGTGATGATTTCACTCCCTGAAAAGCTGAATCTCTTCAGCCCTAATGTGATTTCAGAAACTGAGCGTAATTTTGGCATATTGAGGCCAAGAAGGAGCACGCTGCAAGTCTGCTGAAGTGGAATAGAAAACGTCTGTTGAATTTTGTTTTCAGTAACTTACACCTTGTCTACACAGAATGCGTAGCGTGAGCAATACATTAACAGATCAGCAGCAGCAGCTCTGGTTCTCCATCTATGTCGAAACAGGTGGCGTTCAGGCACAGTATTGATCTGTAGGTCACCCACGTTGTGGAAGCACTCGGAGCCCAACACAGGATTGCTGTAGCTGCGCTTGTAAATGTGGCAAAATAGACTTGATGCGTAGAAGTACACTTTTGCCCACGTCCACAGGCCTATAGCGTGAGTGAAACGCAAGCTTAAAATAGGAGTGTGTCTGTTCCATCAGACGCGAGTGAGATGGACGGCGACTGAAGTGCTCTCTGTGTAGACGAAGCTTTATGGGTCGTTTTACAGGAGACAAAAACACAAGTAGAACAACAATCAGGAACCCAACAATCAGGAACCCAATTTTTCTGCAACTATCAAATCAGTCATTATGTGATTAGGGTTCACATCACACATGATGGGCTGGTTTGAGTATTTTGAAAACATTTTGATCTCCTGGGATCTTAACGCTCAACTATACTCTGTATAGAGTTTTTTTTTTTTGTTGGTTGCTGATGAGAGAGCTCAGTGGCTGGAGGTGACACAAAGTCTACAGTAATCTTGCACAGCCAGACCTGTCATCCTGCTGTAGGAGGAAAAACACTCACTTGTTTGTATTTGTTTAAGCCAATCACGCTGGTCTCGGGCAGTGCTAAGCCCAGGATGCAGTGACGGTGCCCCATTGGTGGAATATTTGGATGCAGGGAGGCGAGTGCTGTCATTAAAATAGATAATTCAGTGAAAGAACCAAGCAGGTCTGTTGTGTATAGCCTGAGCTAAATCTTCTATATATCATGTGAGTTGAAAACAAAACGCATGAAGCTTAAGGGGAGGAGAATCTTTTGTGAAGAGTGGCGGAACTAGCAGCTTATACCCATATGGTGTGTTAAGTAAGTCTTTACAAAATCAGTAAGCTAAAAAGCACAGCACGTAACCCTTAAGGGTCCCTATGGCAGAACATTCCTCACCTATCAGCAATGAACATAGATCTAGCAGTGGGCACAGAGGTTTGAAAACAAGCTAGCCTGGTCAGGTGAACTTCTGGTTCTGCAAAGTCTTGGAAACCAACAGTTACAGGCTAATGGTGGGAGTTTGATGATGTTGAGAGTGTTTTCTCTCATCATCACCAATCAATGACGGCTTGAAACCCACGCTGTGTTGCTGCTGGCCATGTGCATCGTTTCATAGCCTCGATTTACCATCTTCTAATGTCACAAAGTAGAAATCGCCTCAGACTGGTTTCATGAACACGACAGTCATTTCAGCCAATAACTGCTGAACGTAGTAACACCTTGTGGATGTGGTAGAATGGAAGACTGGCAGCGTTAATGTGCAACTCACAAATCTGCTGGAAACTATGTCATGCAGTCGTATCAGTATGGGCCAGAGTCTCCAAAGCAATGTTTCCGAGATCTTGTCGAACTCATGACACCAAGAACTGAAGCTGTTTTAGGTGCAGGATGAGGCTCAACCAGTATACGTGCTCTGTTCCTAACAAATTGAGCTCTTTTAGAACCGTTCTTTCCTCTAAAGTCTGAACCAGATTTCTGTTGGTGCTACTGTCAAACACTACATGATCTCCTGTGTTGCAGTTTTATGAATTACAGGATCAAACACAGAGAATAACTTGATTAAAACTTTTTCACCTAAACAAAATGCTTTGATTTGACTCTGTCTCTCGTCCAGGGATCCGAACTCACCAGTTCCTCAGGACACCACTTTCATCCACACTAAGCCTAATCGCTTTGAGGAGGTCATCTGGACCAAGTTCAGCTCTAAAGACAAGCAGTACTTGCACATTGGCCTGAAGCCTCGCGTCAGAGATAACTACCGTGCCAACAAGGTGGCCTTTTGGCTGGAGCTGGTGCCGCATCTCCACAGCCTACACGAGGAAATCATTAGCTCCATCACCACTCGCCTGCCGCCCGGAGGCCCCGGCCGCCGAAAGAGCACCCATCTGGGCACCATCTCTACACGGCACCCTGTGATCTCCACCTATCCACCGGATCCTGAGCCCGACGGTTCGGAGAGACCCCGCTACCCTCCCTTCCCCAGCGAGACGAGGGACTACTCCACCGAGCTGAGCGTGACGGTAGCTGTCGGCGCCTCGCTTCTTTTCCTGAACGTGCTGGCCTTTGCGGCGCTTTACTACAAACGGGATAAACGCCATGAACTCATGCAGAGGCGCCACCGCCGACTCTCCCCGCAGCGTGGCACCACAATGGGCATGGGTGTTGGCATGGGAGTCGTGGGGGCCCCACCGCACAATGACCTGGCGCTGAGTCAGGAGGAGGAGCTAATGTCACTGCAGATGAAGCAGCAGAGGGTGGAGCTGGAGCACGGGACGCCCCTCCCTTCCCGCGGCGTCCACGGCGACCTGGAACCCCTGCGGCCTCCCGTGTGCCCACCCGACTACACGCTGGCCCTGCGGCGAGCACCGGAGGACGTGCCACTGATGACAGCCAACACCATCACCATGATCCCCAGCACCATCAGCAGCATGCAGCCCCTCCACCCGTTCAACACGTATCCCCCCGTCCCGGCGCCCTCCACCACACCCGTCCCCAGCCACAGCAACAATGCCCTGCCACACCAACACTCCACCACCCGTGTATAGGACCAGGCACAAGCTCTGCTACCCCACTCTGGGCTCACAGAGACGCACCACACAAACTGCTCCATACAAACTCCACCCTCACCACCCTCTATTCTTCTTTACTATATTTTTTTGTCTTTTCTCATTAAGCCCTCAAATAAAGCTGCAGTTTGTAAGATCTGAAGCAGTGAAATACCTCTAAACTGTAATCATAACTCAAGGGGGACTTGATCGAAAAGCTCCTCTGCCAAAAGCCGGTCATCCTAGGTACATACCGCTTTTCCCTATTGAAGCTCTTTGAATATCCGGTGCTTAGGACGGCCACCTAAACACGCAGCTAAGCGCTTGTAGCTCTCTCTCAAAGAGGTATCGAGCGAATCACAATCGGTCTAATGTGTAGCTTGGTTGTTTTTTGCGCATGTGTTGTTGTGTCAGTGTAAAACTATGTTTAACATAGAAGACAAATATTCATTTTCATTCAGTTAGTGAGAAGATAACACAGTAGCGAGCAGCTTCGCGTGAGGCAGCATATGTCCCGACAAGCTGTCTGTCATAAAGCGCTGATTTGTTGAAACTTACAAATTGCAGCTTTAAAGGCCCAATCTGGAAGTGAAATTTGGCACCCTGTGTTGAGCACCATGTCCCAACAGCTGTCCCTGCATTGTGACTTTGGAGATTATTGTTCGGTGTGAGATGTATTGACGGGGCCGGGAGGACAACAACATCGATTTGACAGCAAAATGTTTATTTTAAAAAAAACTTCACTTCTTCTATTTACAAGTGTGTGTTTTCAGTTCTACCTAAATACCATCAGCCGTTCTGCTTTTTAAAAAGAAAACAAAAATCTGTACACTCACTTGCTGCTGCTGCTGCTTTCAAAACATTTCCAGATTGGGGCTTCAACTGTTGGGCAGTACAGGAAATATCTGAATCCTACTCAGTCCGTGGGATGCAACCTGGAATCCAGGCTGCCCATTAGAACTCGCTGCATCTCCGCCGCCTCACCGGCTCTAATCATGTCCATTACTTTATTTGTTTCTCACTGATTATCTCTCTGTCTGTATTCCCACCTCAGCTCATTTAACCGCTTCCCCTCTTTTTTTTCGCCGCCTCTTTCTTCGCCCCTCGTAGCTCTTTTTATTAAAACCATCCACACCGTCCATTGTCCATCTCCACCTCTCTCCTCTTTCTCGCAATCACTTCTAGACTCTTTTTTCCTTTTGGAGTCTTTTATACAAAAACACAAATGTAAATGATGTATTATTAATAAATTGTAAGGATATGAATGAAAAAAAAAAAAGATATTCTGATATCTCGTTTTTACCAGCATTCTTGGTGCCAAGTACTGTGATAAAGTTCCTCTTTCACTGGCGTCCAGTGGACCGCCTGGAGAGGTCCATCCTGACTGTATCTTACAAAAGGAATTACCATCATAAAAAGTGCCAACCCCTTCATCTTTCTTTTTGAACCACACACTTCTTCTTCTTTTTCTTTTTTTGTTTTTGTTTTTTTCAAATTACACGCAATGTTGCACTGTGGCTGGTCTCTTCTTTAAAGGGAAATCAGATTCAATATATCCTCATTTAAAAACAAAAAAAAAAGAATTAAAAAAAGAGAATATAAAGTTTTATTAACTACTTTGCTGTGTGGGATATTTGCATGATGTTTTTTTTCTTTTCTACAGCGTGTGGACAAAGAAGTTTGTTTGTCATTTTGATGATTTGCCTTGTTCTTCATTAATTTTTTGTTTTTTTTATTATTTTGAAAGTCATTTTCATTTTCTATTTTAATATCAGCTGCACTTTGTGGTACTTCAGAAAGTATTAAAGTATTAAGAGATGAATATTGTGTAAAACTATGATTATAACAAAGAGAGTAAATATTTCCTCTTTATTTTTTTCATTTCCTAACACTGAGGCTGTGCCGCAAAACTACCAGAGAGACTGATGAAAGCCTTTTTAATCCCCCCCCCTCTACCCTTTTCCTCTTTTTTGCTTTTTGCTGTTTCTCTTTATCTTTTGCAACTGTCAAGTTTGCACAGTCACTGTCTCTCAATCTCACCTGAAGATAGCACTTTTTTAAGTTACAACAAAAAAAAAGAAAAGAAAAAAAGAAATGACTACTTTACAGGAATAGTCTAAATAAGGTTTCTGTCCGTGACTGACATTAACCACATGCTTCAAGTGTTTTGAAGACTGCCTGACGGTTATCTTTTCGTCTGCTCTTTCGTTGTTTCATGATTCTCGCTTCTGCAAGGCGGGAGAGAGGATGAGATATATTTATGGTCAAGAGGTGAGAGAGAGCCTTGTATGCGCGTTTCACATCTTTTCGCACAATTGAGCACAGAGACGGGTCACACTCTGGACAATTCTAAAAAAAAAAAACAGAAAAAAAACCCCCAGTGACATTAGGACAACACTGGACCAACGCAGACGGCGATTCAGCGACGGTGATGACGAACCAGCTCGTCAACGGTGTGATCTGTCGGTGCGCAGAGGATGCGTTCTAAATACCTGATTTAAACAGACATTACTCACACACCATAAACCACGAGAGCGCAAGAGGCGAGCGGGATTAACTCCCCTCCTCCCCCCGGTGCCCTCCTTGTACCGTCCGGTGTCCTGTCTGCTCAGGATAACGACACTCTTGGAAGCCAGACTGCCATCCCTCTCACGCTGGACTGGAGCGAGCTGCTGCGAGGACAAAAAGAAACAAAAAACCCGACACATAAAACAAACTGTACATTTTTTAAGTGTAAGAGAACAAAACTGGAATTTGTAAATATTATGTTTGTCGTTTGGTTTGAGTGACTGGCCGGAATCTTTTCTTTGTGACAACAGGTGCAAGTTTAGATGACTTACATGATTTTAGCACTCATGCGTACGGTATGTTTGATTCTCCTTTTTTTTGTTTCCTTGATCTCAAGGTCAGATCCCGACGGGCACACGAGTACATTTGTTAACATACATGAATGAATTAAAACAAAAAAAAACAAATCACAGCATGGTTGAGGTCACCTTAAACATGAGAAGGAATGCTTACGGCTCAGGTTAGCCCAGATATTGTGATATTATTAATAAGAGAAAAAAAAAGTTGCATCTATCCCGTACACCTGGCACTATCCCATCAATCATGAAGGCAGCTTTTGAGTGAAATGAGTCCTTTCATTGGTTAAAAAAAAAGCCAAAGAACAGCTGCAAAGAACAGATGAAGGAAGGCGAAATGGGAAAGATATGAGGCAGAGGAACAACAGACAGGGTGGATGTTTCAAATGTGCTCAAAACAAAACCACAAAAATCAAGGAAATTCTTAACTTGTGATACTGTTGGATTTAATTGTTCGTGTCTCACATTGTCTTGAGCATCGTCATACGGTATAACCTGTAATTGGGAGATTGTGGATTCCTTTGTACTCTTTCGGTCTTATTTCAGACTCTAATCACGGTGGTTGTTTTTGCTGCCTTTTGCAATTCTGTCTGTCTGCACATTTCTGTTTATGGGATTACTGACCCGGCTGTTTGATGTGTGCTGCTCACGCTTTCAAAAAACAGCATTACAAAATGCAATTGTTTTTGTTTGTTTGTTTTCTTTTCTTTTTCTTTTTTCTTTTTGGGAAACAAGGATTTGGACCAGCCAACAGATAACGGAAGCACACTCACCAAGTTTACATGTTTACACTACAGTTTTGATGTTGGCTTAAGGTAAGGGTGGAAAGGAGGGAACAAAAAAAAAAAAAAAAAAAAGTGACATTACACGGATCCAAATATCTTCTTCTTCTTCTAACATTTAATGCTGGAATGGTAACGTGAAGGCTTGCACCTGTTTGTCTGTTTCATTTAGTCTGATTCAGTAACCTGCTTGAGGCTCAAGATACTGTGAGAGAGCATAATGACCAGGAGGGGTTGAAAGAATTAAAGTTAATATTTCTATTTCAAATAGAGGCTATTACACACTGTATGTTGTGTATCTGAACTGGAAAACATTAAAAGACATTCTTAAACAAATGCTTTGCCATCATTTTGTGTGTAATATTAAAAGCTGTAATACCAAGGCGTGGCCACTTGGGGGCAGAAGAGCCCAACAAGCACTTAAAGGCAACCAACAGGCGAGCAAGGCCCGTAATGGCGGACCGGTTAGCATGCAGTAGCTAACGTACGCAACCAACAGACATGGAGCGGTTTTAGCTTTAACTTTGAGTTCTGGCCACCAGCTGAATGTGAGTCCAGCAGCATTTTTATCTTTGGGTGTTCTGGTTTGGTTTTTGCCAGCTTGTGAAAAAATAACCCGGCCTTCAGCTGCTAAATGTTCGACTTTTTTTTATTTTTATTTTTAGCTAGCTAGCTAGCTTAGTTGAGCATTTAACGCGCATATGATCATCAGGCTGATCTGGTTCCTTCACAGCAGCACAGGTAGCTGCTGCTCCGGTTACTGTGGTTGGAAATAGTCACATTTCTTCCCCATTGACTCTCTCTCTGCCTGACAGGTTCACTGTTACTGTGTTCAAATGACACGACCACACATAGCCGGTGATGTTTGCGAGAGGGAGAGGTCCGACACACCTGAAGGTAAAAGTGTTCAGGTGCAGGCAGACAGATCTCCACTGTGTCAGGTAGGAAGAAAAAATAGCCCCACATTCAATCTGGAAGATTCACATTTTAACAACGATCCCGATTCTGACTCTATGAACATGATGGCCAGAGGTCTGGACGTTTAAAATGCGCTCAGCATGTGAGGCGTTCAGGGAACATCGGTAAAATGTAGCATCTACCGAAGCAGCATGTGAGGCGTTCAGGGAACATCGGTTTTTGACTTTTGACAGTATTTCCTGATTCATGCAGTGGTAAAAATAAATGTCCAAAGTCCCGTCTGTAGAAACCTTTAATGTGTCGACAAAATGAAACAAGAATTTTGAATCTCTTTGTATTCATTGTCCCGGATTCTGTTTTGGAAATGAATGCAAATTAGCGCATAATTTGATAAATAATACCACATTTGCATAATTAAACATGAAAATTCAGAAAA